ATTTTGCACAGATACGTGTATCAATAATTATAAACCTTGATAACTTGGTTATTCTGGTCAGACACTTGAATTAATAATTAATGTGAAACTGTATCCTCTTACTAATTAACGAGGAAATTATTTGTATTTGTCGCAAAAATTAAGTAATCTGCCGTATACAGTATACACACGACTTTATACATAAAATCGAGGGAAAACATATTAATACGTAGTTAAGAGAAAGATTTGTAATTAATTCAGTGAGTGTGTGCCGAAATAGGCATTAAATATCAAAAGTATTTAAACTGGCTCTTTCAGTTCATTATAATAAACCATAAAAACGACTTCCATTAATTGGTATTGCGTATTAAGAATCTGGTATCTTGGTATCCATTTTGTTATAAACACTTTTAGATTTAAACTATTTTGTGCAATATCAGTAACAACTTTCCTTCTTTTTTCTTAGAGAAACATAAAAGAAACGGGAGGAAATAACATAAACATTAAATCAATAATAAACTAAAATATTGCTTACAAAAGCCACCAAATGTAGCACCACAGTGTTTATAGGTTTCACTTGTGTACGGCGGAGGGGAGGAACCTCTTATGATGGCTTAATGGTAGTTTTTACAGACACATTATGTCCATCGTTTATAATCAATCCAGTTACCCGTCTGAACATTTTAGTTCTCCTTATCAATATATTTCTGAATGCTCTTTACAATATAAAATTCTAACACTTTGTAGAAGAAACTTAATGTAAATCCAAATCAGCCAAGTTTTTTGCATTTTCCAAACCATAACTTTTTCATCATATCCGGTGGAACTTCATGTGACGTCATCATGGTGCTACCGTGGTATATGCAGGGATCAGCTGCAAATCTCCCACCATTGAACCCTGGGATAGCCAATAGGCTGTATCCAAGTTTTTTTATGCAGAGCGAAACATACACATCTTCAAGGTGGAAAAATGGTACATGTTTGGACATTTCAAACACCTTTGTAGCCACGTTCATACTAGTAACGTACCCGGTACCGGAACAAAATCCCGGATAATCACTCCCAGGAAAACTTTTCTTTGATGCATACCATTTGGATCGGCTATCCCGGATAGGTTTAGCCGTCTGATGACACACTCCGCCTACATGTGTCTGTAGCTTGTCTTTGTTAGTGTTTAATGTTTTAAGAATATTTGGAATGTTGACATACATATCATCATCAGTTTTCATCACAAATTTCGCGTGCTTACATTTGGTGCTGGCCCATTTGTACGCCATCATGGTTTTGTACGTCAAGTTACTGTAAGCATCCTTGAAGTCTTCCTGAAGAATATCTCTGAACACTTTAAATTCTTCTCTTACTTGTTCATCCATTTCTGGATTAGCAGGAGCTCCTAGTAGGAAGGCATACCGAATGTTTGAATCCAAAGAGTTATTTTTAGCATACGTTAGCCATGTGTTACGTATGGTTTCCCTCTGTAGTCTGTTCTTGTGAACTGTAAATATCAGAATGACGACATCTATTTCAGGGGATGTGTCATTACGATCACAAATTTGGTCGTTGTCTAACACGTAATTAAAGTTATGATTGAAACATGTTTTACAGTTGTCAGGACGATCGGATATGTCCGTGGACACCAATCTGCTAACATCTGGCGTTAAGTCAGGCGTCACCTCTCCGTTACTTAATTCCGACAGTTTAAGAACTCTCAGTAACGCTTTGGCGTCCTTTTCATAGAATTCCTTAACGTTGTCAGTCAGCTGCACAGACAGCGTGAATATTTCGTTAACTTGATACCAGTAAACAAACACACTGGCGAACATGACGACACACAATCCGACAAAGGCGCACAGAAGCCCCTTGGTAGTACAGACCCGCCCACTCTTTTTGTCGTGGTCAGTCATCACGGATACAGAACAGGCGGTCAAACACGGCATAGTCCTAGCACTATATCACTTTCACAGTAGAACTAGTTTAGTCCTAGCACTATAGTACTTACACAGT